AAGGCTGTGAATTTGCTCTTCTGTGGTGCTAAGCACCTTCCAAGTGTTCACTGCTTTCCCCTGTACCTTGTCAATTCCCACAAACAAAAGACAGGCAGACGGAACAGAACAGAGAATTGAGAAGTCATTGGGATTTTAACTGATGAATCTTCTGCTCATTAGAGGACACTTAGCTCAACCAAATGGTATTTACTGATCCTGGAAAAATGACACCCTGTGCTGAGATTTATTCTTTTGTTCCCAGGGTTCCATCACGTCAACAGTTTTGATAGCCAAGAAGCTAATGAGGGGCCAGACAGTGCCCACAATCCTGAGGGCTCAGTGTTGAAATTTGGTGACAAGAGGCACCATAGGCTCATCTGATGGGCTGCTGATGGGCTTCAGTCAGGTTTTACTCAGCAAACACACACTGCCCCCAGAACCTGAGCATAAGGACTAATGAAAAGAATTCAGTGTGGGTGAGTTTTTTAAGGCCTGACTCCTCTAAGTGAGGTCCCAGGAGCAGCAGCAGCAGCACCTGGGAGCTGGCTAGGGATGCACATCTCTGGGCCCTACCTGGATTCACTGAGTCAGAACTTGCACTTTAACAAGGTCCCTGGGGCAGTTCTATGTAGCTTAAAGCTCAAAAAGCACCTGTGTACCAGTGTTCATGGTGTACTATTTACCCTAGCCAAGACATGGAAGCAACCTAGGTGTCCATCAATAGATGAATATATTCCATATATACAGTGGAATATTATTCAGACATAGAAAGAATGAAACAATGCCATTTGCAGCACCACGAATGGACCTAGAGGTAATCATATGAAGTAAAATGAGTCAGAAAGACAAACACTGTATGATACCACTTATAGGCAAAGGATAAAGGGAAAGATATACCCAACTGAATGCACAGTTCCAAAGAATAGCAAGGAGAGATAAGAAAGACTTCTTAAGTGAACAATGCAAAGAAACAGAGGAAAACAATAGAATTAGAAACACTGGAGATCTCTTTAAGAAAATATCAAGAGATATCAAGGGAACATTTCATGCAAAGATGGGTACAAAGGACAGAAATGGTATGACCCTAACAGAAGCAGAAGATACTAAGAAGAGGTGGCAAGAATACACAGAACTGTACAAAAAAGGTCTTAAACACCTGGATAACCATGATGGTTTGATCACTCAATGAGAGCCAGACATCCTGGACTGTAAAGTCAAGCGGGCCTTAGGAACCATTGTTGTTGTTCACTCACCAAGTTGTGTCTGATTCTTTGTGACCCCATGGACTGCAGCATGCCAGGCTTCCCTGTCTCCCACCATCTCCCAGAGTTTGCCCAAGTTCATGTCCACTGCAATGGTGATGCCATCCAAACATCTAATCCTCTGTCGCCCTCTTCTCCTTCTGCCTTCAATCTTTCCCAACATCAAGATCTTTTCCAGTGAGTCAGCTCTTCACATCAGGTGGCCAAAGTATTAGAGCTTCCACTTCAGCATCAATCCTTCCAGTGGATATTCAGAGTTGATTTCCTTTAGGATTGACTGGTCTGACCTCCTTGCTGCCCAAGGGATTCTCAACAGTCTTCTCCAACACCACAGTTCAAAAGCGACAATTTTTCAGCACTCTGACTTCTTTATGGTCTAGTTCTCACAACCATCAGTTCAGTTCAGTCGCTCACTCATGTCCGATTCTTTGTGACCCCATGGACCACAGCATGCCAGGCTTCCCTGTCCGTCACCAACTCCCAGAGTTTACTCAAACTCATGTCCATTGAGTCAGTGATGCCATCCAACCAACTCATCCTCTGTTGTTCCCTTCTCTCCTGCCTTCAATCTTTTTTTTTTTAAGATTTTTAACATTTATTTTATTGAAGTGTTAATTTACAATTCTGTGTTAATTTCCACTATACTGCAAAATGGTTCAGTTATACATATAAATTCTTTCATTTTCTTTTCCATTATAATTTATCACAGGATATTGAATATAGTTCCCTGTGCCATACAGTAGAACTTAGTTGTTTATTCATTCTATATATAATAGTTTGCATCTGCTAATCCCAAACTCCCAATCCCTCATTTCCCCAACCAGTTCCCCCTTGGCAACCAGTCTGTTCTCTGCCTTCAATCTTTTCCAGCATCAGGGTCTTTTCCAATGAATCAGCTCTTCGCATCAGGTGGCCAAAGTATTGGAGTTTCAGCTTCAGCATCAGTCCTTCCAATGAATATTCAGGACTGATCTCCTTTAGGATGGACAGGTTGGATCTCCTTGCAGCTCAAGAGACTCTCAAGGCTCTTCTCCAACACCACAGTTCAAAAGCATCAATTCTTCAATGTTCAGCTTTCTTTATGGTCCAATTCTCACATCCATACATGACTACTGGGAAAACCATAGCTTTGACTAGATGGACCTTTGTTGGCAAAATAATGTCTCTGCTTTTTAATATGCTGTCTAGGTTGGCCACAGCTTTTCTTTCAAGAAGCAAGAGTCTTTTAATTTCATGGCTGCATTCACCATCTGCTGTGATTTTGGAGCTCAAGAAAATAAAGTCTGTCACTGTTTCCACTGTTTCTCTATCTACTTGTCATGAAGGGATGGGACCGGATGCCACGATCTTAATTTTCTGAACGTTGAGCTTTAAGCCAACTTTTTTACTCACTCTCCTCTTTCACTTTCATCAAGAGGCTCTTTAGTTCCTCTACAATTTCTGCCAAAAGGGTGGTATCATCTGAATATCTGAAGTTATTGATATTTCTCCCAGCAATCTTGATTCCAGCTTGTGCTTCATCCAGCTCGGCATTTCACATGATGTACTCTGCAAATAAGTTAAATAAGCAGGGTGACAATACTTGACCTACTCCTTTCCAGATTTGGAACCAGTCTGTTGTTCCATGTATAGTTCTAACTGTTGCAAGTTTCTCAGGAGGCAGGTAAGGTGGTCTGGTATTCCCGTCTCTTTAAGAGTTTTCCAGTTTTTTATGATCCCTTCATGGATCACTGCCTTGTTGTGGTGAAGGGGCTTGTATAATTTAATGAAGCAATGAGCCATGCTGTGCATGGCCACCCAAGATGGACGGATCATAGTGGACAGTTCTGACAAAATATGATCCATCCACTGGAGGAGGGCATGGCAAGCCACCCCAGTATACCTGCAATGAGAACACCATGAACTGTATAAACAGGAAGGATTAGTATGAACAAAGCTAGTGGAGGTGATGGAATTCCAGGTGAGTTACTTCAAATACTAAAAGATGAAGCTGTGACAGTGCCTCACTCAACATACCAGAAAATTTGGAAAACTCAGCAGTGGCCACAGGACTAGAAAAGGTCAGTTTTCATTCCAATCCCAAAGAAGGGCAATGCCAAAGAATGTTCAAACTACTGCACAATTGCACTCATCTCACATGTTAGCAAGATAATGCTCAAAATCCTTTAAGCTAGGCTTCAACAGTACACGAACCAATAACTTCCAGATGTATAAGCTAGATTTAGAAAAAGCAGAGGAATGAGAGATCAAATTGCCAACATCCACTGGATCATAAAAAAGCAAGAGAATTCCAAAAAAAAAGGTCTAAAGCCTTTGACCATATGAGTCACAACAAACTGTGGAAAATTCTTAAAGAGATGGGAATACCAGAGCACCTTACCTGTCTCCTGAGAAATCTGTGCACAGGTCAAGAAGCAGCAGTTAGAACTGGATATGGAACAATAGACTGGTTCCAAATTGGGAAAAGAGTACATCGAGGCTGTATACTGTCACCCTGCTTATTTAACTTCTATGAAGAGTACATCATGCAAAATGCTGGTCTGGATGAAGCACAAGCTGGAATCAAGATTGCTGGGAGAAATATCAACAACTTCAGATATGCAGATGGCGTCACCCTAATGGCAGAAAGTGAAGAGGAACTAAAGAGTCTCTTGATGAAGGTGAAGGAGGAGAGTGTAAAGGTTGGCTTAAAATTCAACATTCAAAAAACTAAGATCATGGCATCCAGTCCCATCACTTCATGGCAAATAGATGAGAAAACAATGGAAACACTGGCAGGTTTTATTTTCTTGGACTCCAAAATCACAGCAGATGGTGACTGCAGCCATGAAATTAGAAGGTACTTGTCCTTGGAAGAAAAACTATGACAAACCCAGACAGTGTATTAAAAAGCAAAGACATCATTTTGCAGACAAAGGTCCACATAGTCAAAGCCATGGTTTTTTCCAGTAGTCATGTATGGATGTGAGAGTTGGACCCTAAAGGAGGCTGAGCACTGAAGAATTAATGCTTTCAATTTTTGGTGATGGAGAAGACATCTGAGAGTACCTTGGACAGCAAGGAGATCAAACCAGTCAATCCTAAAGGAAATCAAACCTGAATGTTTACTGGAAGGAGTGATGCTGAAGCTGAAACTCTAATACTTTGGCCACTTGATGCAAAGAGCTGATTCACTGGAAAAAAACCTGATTCTGGGAAAGATTGAGGGCAGGAGAAGGGAGTGGCAGAGAATGAAATTGTTGGATGGCATCACCGACTCAGCGGACATGAGTTTGAGCAAACTCCAGGAGATGGTGAGGGACAGGGAAGCATAGTGTTCTGCAGTCCGTGGGTCAGCAAAGAGTAGGACACAATTGAGCAACTGAACAACAAGACGGGCGCAAAGGTGAATGGAGATTAGAGGCCCCTGGAAAGAGAAGAATGGAGAAACCGAGTTTTGGCCGCACTGGGTCCTCATTGCTGTGTGTGGGTTTCTCACTGTGGTGACATCTCTTGTTTCGGGGCATGAGCTCTACACTTGGAGGCTCAGGAGTTGTGGCTCATGGGCTTAGTTGCTCTGCAGCATGTGGAATCTTTCCAGACCAGGGATTTAACCCTTGTCCCCTTCGTTGGCAGGTGGATTCTTTACTATTGGAGCACCAGGGAAATCCCATAGCAACTGATTGGTCATGAAAACCACTCGGAATTGAGGCCCACCAGTGACTTCATGCAAGCAGTCAGTTCACTCAGTCTCCCTGGAGCCTGTTTTTGGCCTACCTGCTGAAGGTCTTGGCACTCAAATCCTTCAGGAAGGCTATGGTGCCCTGTCCTCTGGCATTGAAGGACACCGTGCAGACAGGACAGGGGATCTCCAAAGCCTGCTGAAGGAGAAGCTCCTTGGATTCCTCGGGAACATCTCCCACCACAAAGTAGTAAATGGATTCAATCTGCAAAACAGTGGTGCTGTCGGTTTATTTCCCTGACACACCCTAGCCTTGAATCAGACTCATGGGTGATATAATCTCTATAAAACTGCCTCTTTAAAAAAACAAATGGGCAGAAAGAAGAGCAGCACTCCTCAACCTTTCTTGAGGATGTGTGGGGGCCAAAGTCAAGAAGTGAGATATTCAAGGCCTGGTGCCAGGAAGTCTCAGCCTTTACATGGGAAGGATATGACTGGCAGATGTGGAGAAAAGCTTCCTCTGAGCCCACAAATACGTTATGCAGTCAGGAATGGCTATTTTCAAGTCCAGGAATGAAGGAAGTGTTGGCATAGCCACTGGGAGCAGGAAGCTTATTAGCAATTCCCCATGTTGGTGCCATTCCCCATGTTGGTGCCAGAATTCTACAGTGCAAACCCAGGCATCCTCAGTCTGAGGCTGTGTGTGGGGAGGAGGGCATATTCCCAGCTGGTTCATCCTCTGGTCTCACCTCAGGGACAGACACACCTGGGGAGGTAAGGCCAGTCAGGGGGCATAGCAGGCCAGAAGTCAGGAGAAAGATACACATACGCACACACACACACACACACACACACACACACACACACACACACACCACACCCCCCAAAGCTTAAACCAGGGATCTAGGAGATGCATACCTCACCCAGAAAGCAGACAATGACAAAGTGGTCCCTGCTTAACTTAAAGACATCAACTCCATCTACAGGGCCCCAAATGGTGGTCCTGCCCCACCCTTAACCACACTGCTCTAAAGGTCTCCTCTGCCACTACTGAGTTCTGTAACCTTGGAAAAGTGGTTTAAGTTCAGTTCTTCACTGTGAAAAGGAGCTTATGCAATTGGCTTCATGATAGAGCTTAAACATGATGACTTACACTTATGCGTGTATATAAATCTCAGGAAGTAAAAATCACAGGGAGGGCCAGGAACGCACATCATCTAAACCTAACCCCAACAAACACGCTAAGTGATTCTCTACTTATAACCCAGCCAGAACCTCCAGCAAATGTGTTCTGTTGTAAGGGATAAACAGATGTCACCAGCCCTTCAGGATTCAGGAGCCTCTAATTACACATCTCCCATCCCGGGTTGGCTGAAGGTAGATAGTCACTTACCTCACCTCGACTTCAAAGCTGAGACTTAAGCCTACCTGTCCCAGAGACAGGTGGGCAGAGGGTAAGCTCCCAGCTGCTTGGGATGCCCAGTCAGTGGCAGCAAAGGGGGGACAGTCTGTGCCCAAGAAGGCAGGTAGGGACAGGGTGGCAGGGGGTCCATGCTGGGAGCCAGGAGATGGCCAGAGCCCCATCTACTGCAACCACACTCCTCCTCGAACTGGGCACAAAAAGTCCATCTGACCCCTCACTCTCTCAGGCCCTTCATCACAAAGTCCCTGACTTTTTAAAGTACCTCATGGGAGGTAAAGACGAATGAATGTTGCCTATTTCTCCCAGCCGGCCACTTGAAAAGAACTAAAAACACTGACAGGAGGAAGAAAGTGTTCTTCAGATTCCTAATTAGACAACTAATACTGTTCTTCCAGAAAATGCATTCTATGTCATTCTCTTCATGGTGTTAGACGTTACTTTACATTGTTGTTGTTCAGTCTCTCAGGCATGTCCGTCTCTGTGCAACTCCATGAACTGCAGCACCCCAGGCTCACATAAGACATCTTAAATAGGTTCCACTGAGCCATGGTTACTAGTTTTCTAACTGTGTTGGTGTCCAAGTTTAGCATGAGGACAGCTTCATCCTCTCATGGGATCTACAATCACACAAAGCTCAAGACAGGGAAACAGACATGGGGAGTATATTCTAGGGTTTGGTACATAAACAAGAAAGTGAGTGAGGACAAATATCTCTCATTGGTCTGTTGACAGCTTGACACCTTGTATCTCTGCCTCGAGCAGTGCAAACATAGCTTCTTTGCTCTGGCAATAACCCAAGAACCTGAAATTCTCACACAGAGATTTTTTTTCCCTCAAGATTTCATCAAACTAGAAATTGCTATAGCCAGCAGTGAGTCAGGATTTGCTTCCCTTCATTAATCAAGGCTATAGGGTTATTCACTATTCACTAAGGTTCTTACTCAGCTTCTTAGTTGCCTGTGTTTTTGGTCAACTCTCAGTTATCTGTGCTCCAGATTTCTGGGGACATGCTTTCCCAGAGACCACCATCTGCACACTGCCTTCCTTTCTTTTTATAAAAGAAAATATTTATTTATTTATTTGGCTGCACTGGGTCTTTGTTGTGGCATGTGGGATCTTTAGATGCGGCATATGGGATCTAGTTCCCTGACCAGGGACCAAACCTGTACCTCCTGCATTGGAAGTGTGGAGTCTTAACAACTGGACAGCCAGGGAAGTTTTTAATAGATTTTTTTTAAAGTCTTACCCATTTATAGAGTTTTTTTAATACACCACTTGGCATGCAGTATCTTCCCCAGTCAGGGACTGAACCCATGTCCCCTGCAGTGGAAGCTCAGAGTCTTAATCACTGGACTGCCAGGGAAGTTACCATGCATGCTTTTCTTTACTCATCTTAAGACACAGAGCATGGCATTTTTATATGTGAGGCAGCTGCATTTATTAACATTCTCCTCAGGACCTCAGCCAGATACAAGTTCTGAGTGGAGAACACCAGTCTGAATATGTCCCACATCTTTCACACCCCATAGTCTCTTCTCAAGAGTTTTCACATGGCATTTGGTGGCCAATGCCTGGAAACTTCTTTTTGGTACTTTCTCTTCCACAGAACTTCCCTGGAACTCACTATATTGTTATACATTTCCTGGGCTAGGGAAAAACCCCAGAGAGAGGAGGCATACAAACCGGAGGGACATAAAATATAAAGGCAAGATCACCAGGAAATCTTGCTGTCACGTCAGGTCGCCAGAGTCAACTATGGCCAGGGTAGCCAGGGGAACAAAGAAAGAGAACACCCATGTGCACATGTACACACACACACACACACACACACACACACATCCAAGAGCCTGTGAAATATTCCATTTCTTGAATGCTTATTACAGTGTCCAGACATTTGAAATTTTACAGATGTTAAAACAAACTTGAAAGGCCAAAGAACAAAGCAGCTTGTATTTCATTCTTTTTAAATGAAAAACAGTTGTTCTTCTGGCTTTATAAAGATAAACAGTATGTTTCCATTTTCAAACCATGAACCCTCAGTATCAATAAACAGTCTGGAGACCACTAAGGGCTCTCCTTTCAAGGTGCCTTGCCCAAGAAACGACTTCTTAATACAACGGAGTAAAGCTTGAAATCTAAAGAACCCCCAGGCTTCCAGGGTAGAAGCAGAAATTAATTATCAATATCAATTAATATGGATCAATTAGTAAGAATTAAGGATCTGTATCCCAAGAGAAAGCAGACCTATCCCCACTTAGAAAGTTGAGGCTGCCCTAAGGCCCTCACCTGCTCAGAGTACTTCCTCTCTAGCCTGTCACTGCCCTTAACAGTCACTCACAGAAACACACATCATTATGGCTAAAAGAGACAAAACACCACCATTTAATCACACCTTCCAGGTAAAGCTTTATTTCCCAAAGGTCCCTATCAAAAAAAATACATGAATGCGTTAGCATCTGAAAACAGATGATGCACCAGTGGGGACACACTTCACCTTGGAAAGCACCTGATGGACCCATTTGTGAAGAGGAACTGGGAAAGATTCAAAGCATGCATGCTGGGGAAACCCTATTTCCTCATTCTTGGGGTTCTATGAGGAGTCTTACAACTTCTCCTCTCATAAGAAAGAAAAGTGTTAGTCACTCACTCACGTCCAAACTTCACGACCCCATGGACTTGCTGGCTCCTCTATCTATGGGATTCTCCAAGCCAGAATACTGGAGTGGGTTGCAATTCTCTTCTCCAGAGTATATTTCTGATCCAGGGATCAAACTTGGATCTCCTGCACTGCAGGTAGATTCTTTACCATCTGAGCCACCAGGGAAGAGCCCGTAAGAGCCCATAAGAGTCAGGTTTATCTAATTGTCAGGTAAGCAAAAGTGGAAAAGTGAAATTGAAGCATTAGAGATACACAGTCAGGGCCTCAGCCCTCCTTTCTTGATGCTCAGAGGCTGTGAGCAGCACATGGTTCTCCTAGCAGCAGTTAAAGGAGGGTGTGCCTTGTGGCCCCAATCCCCCCCTTGCAGGGGAAGCCCAGCCAGGCTCGGGGAGCAGAGTCTGATTTGATTGATCCACATCTGAGCCACCAGATATGCTCTTTTGACCCCCATGTGGGGCCTGTCATCTATTTCTCAATTGGATCCAGATTCAGAGGTGAACAGTATTAAGACTTCTGAGGCTCTTGGATGCCAAGGAGGCAGTCTCTATGTGATGCAACTAACTGGAAGGGCTCAAGCTCAGCTAGGAGGCAGTGTGAGGATACTGAGTGTGAAGGAATAAGCTCAAAGTCACTTTTGTGACCTGGGACCAGACACGGACACACACTTACCACTTCATCTTTCCCCGCCTCCAGCAGAGCATCCAGGCAGCTAGTGTGACTTGAAGCCAGCTCAAAAGACAACTTCTCGACCCAGCTGATGGCAGCGGCTATGGATGGTGCTGTCACAGGAACAGCGTTTTCCTGCCATTTCACAGGCTCTTGAGAAACCCTGAAAGGAATCACATGGGGCTGTCACCAGGGAGTGGTCGATATAGCTGTCAGCCCTCAGTCTCAAAGCTACAAGCAACAAGACACCCAATGTCACTAGAGAGAAAGAAAATGTAGCTCCCAGACCTCTGAAAGTTAATGAGAAAACAGGTGAGCTATTTAAGGCAGGTTTCCAAAGCACCATGACTTTCCATAAGCTGTACTGACTGGTAAAAACAACATTTATAGGAGAAGGGCTTCCCTGATAGCTCAGTTGGTAAAGAATCTGCCTGTAATACAGGAGACCCCAGTTCGATTCCTGGGTCAGGAAGATCTGCTGGAGAAAGGATAGGCTACCCACTCCAGTATTCTTGGGCTTCCCTTGTAGCTCAGCTGGTAAAGAATCCACCTGCAATGCAGGTAGACCTGGATCTGATCTCTGGGTCAATGCTGGAGACCTCAGTTCGTATCCCTGGGTTGGGAAGATCCCCTGGGGAAGGGAAAGGCTACCCACTACAGTATTCTGGCCTGGGTCACAAAGAGTCGGACACGATTGAGCAACTTTCACTTTCACGAATTAAAAAATCTCAAAAGTTTGAATATTACCAAGTGTACTAAAATTATTGAGGAAAGTGCACAGAGAACTATATTCAATATCTTGTAATAATCTACAATGGAAAAGAACCTAAAAAAGAATAAGTATAAATTTTTATAACTGAATTACTTTGCTGTACTCCTGAAATTAACATAACACTGTAAATCAACTATATTTCAATAAAATTTTAATGTCAAAAAATTATTGAGGAAAGTTATTTTCATAAATAGGCAGGTTTAGTTGCAACTGTCTTCTATGAGTAGTAAGTTTATAAGCATTAAGATTTGCAAATCAGCAACAATTTTGTTACTCCACAACTTTATTTCTAATTCTTTTATTACATTGTTTTCATTGTTCTGAAAGATTCCTATCAGTTACCCTTTTCAGGATCAAAAACAGTATTGCTTTGAATTCATCAGAGCATAAGTTTTTAAATTCCTGGAACTTTTGATTAAATCGTTTAATTTGGGACTGGAAATGTGATAGAAATCCCCCCTCCAAAAAACAACAGCTACTTGAGTTCATCTCTGTGTTTATAATTAAATGAATTATATGAATCATATATGAATTTGTAGTGGGAAGAATTATATGAACCCAGGACTAAAGGAATCAGCCTGATTTGTCCCTCCTGGCCTATACCTCCAGAGGCCTAGGGTGCCTCACCTCTGAGTCACCTCTGTGTGGCCTCTGCATAGAGGATCTGGCTAGGTGGCATATATGCTATAGCACATATTCCCAAGAAAGCTGAAGCACTATAGACTTAATCACGTAATTTCTTCAATAATATATCTGTGATAGAAATAGGAACCCAGGATAGAACACAATCAGGCAGCATCTTCAAGGGTGTCATCTGTTTTAGCTGAAAATATTTTACTTAGAAAAGAAAGACTCAGATAGATGGCCTTCTCATCCAGGTGTCTTTTGTCAAGGAGATAGAGCAACTGTTCCACAGGAGAAGTCAGCACTAAAGTCCAAAGTCTCTTGAATCCAAGAATCCATAAATAATTGATTGTGAAGACTCTGAAATAAGGGAACTTCTATAAAGCCAGTCACCTGTTGCTCTGATTAAAAGATAGGTCAGCTTACAGAGGAAATCAAGTTGAGCTGCAAACTCAGTCTGAAAACAAGTGAAAATTTGTGATGCTGAAATTCATTATCAAACCTAAAGTCTAAAATGTGTGAAGGAATTTTATGGCCTTAAACATATATTCAATATAATAAATATCTTTATATTTTGACCTTGACATACACTGAAGAGAACGCTGTTTTAAAATCTCTTCTAATGCCCTGCACCAAATAGATAAAAGTTTTTAATACTGACTACGTGTGGGTTCTTGCTGGAATGATAAAGCCTGAGAAATGACAAGATTATAGCTCTCCCCATCCACAGAGCTAACTGTGTTAGTGGTGCTACTTAACCCCAGACACACGAGAACCACTCACGAGGTCTCAGGGGAACACTGCCCCCGTGGGGACTCACCGAATGATATTGAACTTGGCTGCGTGAGCCACTTGCTCCTGAAGGACCATGGTGAGGGCGTCTCGGCACAGACTAAGCTCCTCCTCCAGCATGCCGCCCAAATCCAGCACTATGGCGATGCACTGCTCCAAGATGACACCAAAGATCTGCCGGCTGTTGCTGGTGAGCCAGTCCATCCGCTGCTTGCAGCTCTCCACAGCTTGTGTTAAACGTTCCATATACTGAGAGATCAGTTCTGATTTGGCTGTCAGCTTAATGAGAATAAAAGTAACAAAATAAAATGAATAGAAGCATACCAAAACAAGTCATTTTAAAAAACCATTTACTGGAGTATAGTTTTTTTTTTACAATGTTTTGTTGGTTTCAGGTGTACCGCAAAGTGAGTAAGTTTTATATATATATCTCTCTCCACTCTTTTTTTTAAGATTATTTTCTCACTCAGGCCACTACAGAGGATTGAGAGAGTCCCCTTTGCTATCCAGCAATAGTTTCTCGTTTTACATATGGCAGTGTGTATATGTCAGTCCCAATCTCCCGATTTACTCCCTCCACCTCCCAGTAACCATAAGTTTGTTTTCTACATCTGTGACTCTACTTCCATTTTGTAAACAAATACATTTGTATTCTTTTTTTTTAGATTCCACATTAGGCAATATCATATAATATTTGTCTTTCTGTGTCTGACTTAATGCCATTCAGTATGACAATCGGTCCACCCGTGTTGCTGTAAGTGGCACTGTTTTGTTCTTTTTCACAGATGAGTCAAAACAAGTAATTTGAGCCCCACTGCAGCCAGGAACAATAAGGCCCACTGAGTTATGACTTTGCCATCAAGAACTGTATATTAATAACAATTTGATAGATGATCCTCCAAACCCCATACATTCCAGGAAGAAGTCTTCCAATCTTTCAACTAAAAAACCCTTGGATAATTTCCCATAGAAGGAAACAAGATGATGAGATCTACACAAAAATATAGCATTCTTTAAAAAAAAAAGTGTCTCCAGATTGTGTTTAACCTTTCCAGTCACAGAATTATTTTTAATTCTGAAAATGCTCAGGGGTACTCTGAAGAAATTAGGTAAAAGAAAATAGAGATCAGCAAAGGCAGATGGGAAAAAAAGTTCCTAAAGAAACCAGAAAAAGATGAACAAACAAAACATAAAGTTAGTAGAAAGAAGGAAATTATAAAGATCAGAACAGAAATAAATGAAATAGACTAAAGAAACAATGGAAAATATCAATGAAACTAAGAGCTGGTTCTTTGAAAAGATAAACAAAACTGACACACCTTGAGCCAGACTCATAGAGAAAAAAGAGAGAGTGCCCAAATCAATAAAATCAGTAATGAAAAAGACAGAGATACAAAGGATCATGAGAGATTGCTATGAACAACTATATACCGATAAAATGAACAACATAAAAGAAAAGCACAGATCTTCCAGATGGAGCCAGGAAGAAATAGAAAACATGAACAGGCCAATTATCAGCAGTAAAACTGAGTAAGTAAAAAAACAAAACAAAACCAAAAAAAAAACTCCCCTAAAACAAAAGCCTAGAACCAGATGGTTTCACAGGTGAAAATTTTACCAAATATTTAGAGAAGAGTTAACACCTATCTTTCTCAAACTATTTCCAAAAAAATTTGCAAAGTCTGGAACATTTCCAAATTCATTCCACCAGGTCAGTATCACCCTGATATCAAAACCACAAAAAATAAAATTACATAGATGGACATAGATGCAAAAATCTTCAGCAAAATATTGGCAAACCAAATTCAAAAATACATTAGAAGGATCATACACTATGATCAAGTGGGATTTATCCCAGGGGTGAAGGATGGTTCAATAGTTGCAAATCAATAAATGTGATATATTGCATCAACAAACTGTAGAATAAAAAATCATGATCATCTTAACAGATGAAGAAAAATCTTTTTGTAAAATTTAACATCCATTTTTAATTAAAAAAAAAACTCCCCACAAAGTGGATATGGAGGGACCTTGACAATATAAAGGCCATATATGATAAACCTATAGCTAATACTATACTTGATGGTGAAAAGCTAAAAGTATTTCCCCTAAGATCAGGAACAAGACATGGATGCCTGCTCCTGTCACTTTAATTCAACACAGTATTGTAAGTTCTAGTCAGAGCATCAAGCAATCCGACATAAAAAAAAAGGGGGGGAATTCAATTTGGAAAGGAAGAAGTAAAATCGTCACTGTTTGCAAACAACACGACACTATACATAGAAAATCTTAAAGACACCACCAAAAAAATTACTAGAGATCCTGAATGAATTCAGGTTACAAAATCAGTACACAGAAATCTGTCATAGTTTTATATACGAACAATGAACTATCAGAAAGAGAAATTAAGAAAACAATCCCCTTTACCATCACATCAAAAAGAATAAAATATCTAGGAATAAATCTAAGGAGATAAAAGACCTATACTCAGAAAAGTATAAGATATTAATAAAAGAAATTAAATAAGACACAAAGAACTGGAAAGGTAGTCCATGTTCATGGAAGAATTAATGTGGTTAAAATGACCATGCTACACAAGACAATCTACATATTTAATGCCTCTGTATTAAAATACCAATGGCATTTTTCACAGAACTAGAACACATAATTCTAAAATTTGTATGGAAACACAAAAGACCCAGAATAGCCAAAGCAATCTTAAGAAAGAAGAACAGAGTTGGAGATATCATGTTCCTTAACTTCAGGCTATACTACAAAGCTACAGCAATCAAAACAGTGTATGGTACCGGCACAAAAACAGACACATAGACCAATGGAGCAAAACCGAGAGCCCAGAAATAATGGGCAATTAATCTATGACAAAGGAGGCAGGAATACACCATGGGGAAAAGACACTCTATTCAATAAATGGTGCGAGGAAAACTAGACATCTACTTATAAAAGAATAAAATTAGAATATTTGCTCACACTGCATATAAAAATAACCTTAAAATGGATTAAAGAACAAAATGTAATACTGGAAACCATAAAAATCCAAGAATAAAACATAGGCAGAACACTCTTTGATATAAATCATAGCAATATTTTTTGGATCTGTCTTCTAAGGCAAAAGAAACAAAATAAAAAAAACAAAATAAACAAATGGATTAAAGATTTTTCTCACAGCATACTAAATTACTGACAAAATGAAAATACAGTCTTCTAAATGGGAGAAAATATTTACAAATGATATAACTCACGAGGGGTTAATATCTAAAATAAACAGCCCACACACTCAATATTAAAAAAAAAAACACACGACTGAAAAAATGGGCCAAAGATCTAAACAGACATTTTGCCAAAAAAGATATATGGATAATTAACAGGCATATAAAAAGATGATCAACATCACCAATCATCAGAAAAATACAAATCAAAACCATAATGAGATATCACTTCCCACCAGTCAGAATGTCCATCATTGGCAAGACCACAAATAATGAATGATGGAGAAGGAACAGAGAAAAAGGGAACCTCTACACTGTTGGCAGGAACGTAATTGGTGTATCCACCATGAAAAACAGTGTGGAAGTGCTTCAAAACACTAAAAACACAACTGGAATATAATCTGGCAATTATCTTGGGTATATATCCAAAGGAAATGGAAATACTAATCTTGTGAAGATACATGCAGCCCAATGTTTATAGCAACATACTATATATGAAGTAGATAATTAACAAGAACTTACTATATAGCACAGGGAACTCGACTCAATAGTCTGTAACAATCTACAAGGGAAAAGAATCTGAGAAAGAATGAATATGTGCATACATACAACTAAATCACTTTGCCATACACTTAAGACTAACACAATATTGTCAATCAGCTATTTGCTGTTGTTCCATCACTAAGCTGTGTCCAGACTGCAACTGCAGAGGTTTCCTTTATCTCTGTTACCATTAACTGTAGCATGCCAGGCTTCCCTGTCCTTCACTATCTCCTGGAGTTTGCTCAAACTCATGTCCATTGAGTCAGTGATGCTACCCAATACTCTAATATAAAATAAGAATTAAATTTTTAAAAATTTGTATTCAACAGATCTAGATAAAATCCAGATATCCTAAAGAAAACTAGATGGGGTAGGGAAGAAATTAGGTAGAAGAAAAGCGAGATCAGCAAAGCCAGACTGAAAAAAAAATTTCACTGAAACATCTGCCTAACTCAGTTCAGTTCAGTTCAGTCCAGTCACTCAGTCATGTCCGACTCTTTGCAACCCCACGAATCGCAGCACACCAGGCCTCCCTGTCCAACACCAACTCCCGGACTTTACCCAAACCCGTGTCCATCAAGTCAGTGATGCCATCCAGCCATCTCATCCTCTGTCGCCCCCTTCTCCTCCTGCCCCCAATCCCTCCCAGCATCAGGGTCTTTTCCAGTGAGTCAACTCTTCACATGAGGTGGCCAAAGTATTGGAGTTTCAGCTTCAGCATCAGTCCTTCCAATGAACACCCAGGACTGATCTCCTTTAGGATGGACTGGTTGGATCTCCTTGCAGTCCAAGGGACTCTCAAGAGTCTTCTCCAACACC